CCAGGGGGTAAGTGTGAAGGACGAGAGCTGAGTTGATCTTTCTGACACTCTAAGTAAGAGTTAAGAAGAGTCAAGAACTGGATAACACAAATAATAGAAATATCATGGAGCTCTTCTAAGTACATTCCATATCGGATAAGAAAATCGCCCCGTTGTTAAATTCTTTTGTGGAGTACAACATTCATCAGCCGGTGTGGTCAGATTTGTTTCCTCCCAACAATTGACTCAGAATTTAAGGCATGTAAAAACTACCAGAAAACCATACTAGTCCTTCAATGAGTTCGCCTGGAATTCCGGTATCTGTGTTTGTTCAGACCAGTTTGCAATTTCAGTGCAAATCCTGAAGCAAATAAGTCACTGTTCAGAGTCCACCAGTTCCGCTTCGGACAGGCACTTGGGCGGAGCTTGGAGCGCAACACTTTTTATTGTGTTATTTGTTGTGGATCACTGATTGTGACGCAATAAGCGCATATATGTATGTTCTCCGTCCTACCAGCCAAAGTTTTCTGTTATGCATGATTGATAACCATGTTTGAATAACCTGTCTTTGGAATTCTTCCCTAGTACGGCGAAATGCGCTGCCAAGATAGCCAGTTGGACAGACAGAACGGTCTCTTTTTCTAGTAACAAAGCACTACTTATAAGGTTACTAAAACTCCCGATAGCCCACGATTGTTTTTATCCTTTTGCAAGCTTATCAAACAGGCAGACTACCACTAGTGACAAACCTGAGATTGGTTTGAGTCTCCGGTTTAGACGAAGACAGTTTTCAACTAAGCGCGTTCATTGCTCCGAAGAATGTTTTATTTAGCTTGAACGAATTAAACTGGCGTTTTGGCCCGAAAGAGGCGGCACAGGAGTGATTTGATAAGTTTGCAAATGACAGTGAACATTAGGAAACAAACAATGGCACAATGCGATCTCTCTCAAGCTTGCCGAGAATTGAAAAGATCCACTTGGGCGGTCTGTGTGGTTTTCCGACCAGTGGTCAGTCATACGGGGTCTGATTTAGTTTTCACCAAGGCACCTGAGCGTTTTTACCCTTGTGCAGCCTATCTGATTAGCTTAAGATACGGGCCCTCAGAATTCACATTAAGTTAAAACGAATAAATCTACTATAACATACAACACGTTTAAAAATGGATGTGACCTACTGAACAGCCCAATTCCGTAACTAATGACAAGGTTTCGCAGTGTCCACCCTGGCTCCCCGAAAAACACGTCAAAGCTAATTCTCGGTTCTGGATGCTTTGAGTCTTTTAGCTACTGACCTTGACCACAAACGGTGCAAAGGCAAAGCAACGAGGTTTCCTGCTAAAAGTGCAGCGGTTTTTCGAGTTTATAGGCCTTCAGTATGTCTATTCCGTCAAACAGTATTCCGTGAACTTTCTGTGTTCAGAGGCACATATGAAGGTGGTCGCCAACAAATTATGTTGGTGAGAAGACCTGCTAACATGCATATCATATGTAGGATTTGTTCTGTCATTTCCATGACGTTCTCAGTCCGAAAGAATTGCAAGAGGGTGTCTCAGCCTTGAGGTGTGGGATGATTGATGGATTTCTGACGAATGCTGATCACAATATCAAAATGCTATTACCAAGCCTGATGAACACAGGAACAGTTATCACTAGACGCACCCGAACTATAAATACTTCCGTACACTATCCTAATATGGCTATGCTGAGTCACGAAATCAACCATCGAAAGTTCTATCCACAAACTTTCAGGCATATGGGATTGTAGAAAATCACCGAGAGTAGACTTCCAATGATTTAGGCACTTCATCATGCTATTATTACAAACAATGGTTAGGGATCGGTTTGCTTTACTTACATTCCCATGCGGTCTTCATGAGTAAAGGATTGCTGCTTACTTCGAGTTTCCCCACTATACGTCCCGAATGAGCCATTCGGCCGATCCCTTATCATGCAGTATTTCGCCGTGAGGCATCCAAAGTATATCGACAACACTGTTGATAATGGTGTGGGGTGTATTCAGCACACAACCGGCTTGTTTACAATTAGCGTGGGAAGCGCCATGTGGCCACAGAACACCATGCTGAATGATAACCGGAGGGGAGTTGTATGGCGCCTTCATATTAATCACGTGATCGATTTTTTTAACAGACTTGGTTGCGTTGTACTAGCACAAGCCAAACTGTAGAGTATATTCTTATTGCATTGTGGTGTGGTGTAGAAACTTCTGAAAAACGGACATCAAATTAGAACTGACACCAGTCGTGACAGAAGAACTAACAGGAGCGAGCGTTCAAAAAGTGCTGCTAGCGTCATTGTACTCAATAACGGTTAGACGCAGTAGATTTACAGGGGACGGGACAAAGAAGCGTGCGCGCGAATGATACTTTTGGTAGCCCAGGACCAAGAATTTGAGGTTACCCGTTTGAGCCTATAACTCGGACGCCTGACCTACAAAGCAGTGAGAGGGTATACGGTTTACTTCGGAGACCCTGCCCCTAGACGCTGACTCAAAAGTCCAGCCGGTGACGTAGTGGGCACTAGATTTTTTTCCGGAGCAAAATATTCAACAATCTTGCGTGCCTTGTTGCGTGGGCTGGCCAAACCTGAGGGAGCAGGAATTAAGGTACTGATGTCTGATTCTTAGTGCGCACAGTCCGTCACGAAGAGAATGAACCTTACCGTGGTGTGGCGGTTTGTGTAACTCGGCGACCCATTGAGCTATACTGGGGAGTGTCCGCACGATGCTCACAGAGTCTCTCGTACCAGGTTGGTCCATGGGTAGAGGTCTGACGAACACAGTCTCCTGGCCCTCCAGGTTGGGGGTTGGAAAATGTGTGGCGACGTGTTCCGTAAAAAATGGTAATGTACTTGCCTTTCCAGCCGAGCACCGCTGCCTTGCGGTTAGGCCTTTGAGCCAAAGGCTTTGGTTAAGGACCCTAATCGTCCTCCTGTCTAGGTGTCGGCGCCCTGGCAGTATCCCAGCCCACGTATAACCATGAACTGCACATACACAAATAAACTCATGCCACATCGGCCGTCGCGTGATGCCATCAGCCGGGTCGCCTTACTTGCTGAATACAGCAGTGCGGGTAAGCGAAAAGATGCTACTGCTGAAGACTCCCTTCTTACAGTGCCACGTTTTCATTCCTTCGCCCTCTCCCTCTCAAAGTCGAATAATTTCTCCGCAGGTCCCAACCCTAGGACTGACAGTTTTGCCCGCTCTGCATCGCACTCAGCCGCAGCTTCTGCACGTCCGAGTTCAGTTACAACCCCAAACACTTCGAAGTCTGTTCTCAAACCCCGAAAGCCTGTCTACTTAGCCACCTTCAATGTCCGCACCCTGAAGCAAGCAGATCAACAGGTGGCTATTGCGCGTACGCTGGATTCCCTCTGTATTGATGTATGTTGTCCGTCAGAAACAAGGACACAGGACGCAAGTACTGTGATCGAACTGACTGCCCCCTCGCTCTCTTCCAGGTTCCGGCTGCGCACCTCTGGTGATGCAGAGGCCGCTGCAGCTGGATATGCTGGGGTGGGTATTGTATTGAGCGAACGAGCGGAAGCGTCTCTGCTTGATTGGATACCCGTTGACAGTCGCCTCTGTGCGGTTCGTTTGGCAACATCGGTGAGAGAATCTAGAGGAAGTGAGGTTCATCGCACCTTGTTTATTGTTTCTGCTTACGCCCCAACTGACTGTAGCTCTGAATCTGCCAAGGACAGTTTCTATGACGCTCTAGGTGCCCTTCTACAACAGGCTAAAAGCTCAGATATCGTTGTGGTTGCTGGTGATACGAACAGGTAGGTATACCAAGCGCTGCTGAGGCCCGATTGGGTGGTCGTCTTGGTTTGGACACTAGACGCACGGACAACGGAGACCCGTTACTTCAGACGTGTGCCGGTCACAGTCAGTTCCTTTGCAGTACGAATTTCCGGAATAGCGGAAATCGCTTGACAACGTAGTGTCCACAAGTGAAATGGCGCCGAATCCAAATGGACCGCACTGCCGTCAGTTATCGGTGGCGAGGGTCAATCACCGCCTGCCGCTCCTTCTGAAACACCAGCGTGGACTCCGACCATGCACTTGTACGCTGCTGCTTTTCATTGCGCTTTTCAGGTGTACGCAAATCGCGCACACCTCGCTTAGCCATTGAAAAGCTAGTGGACCCAGAATTCAAACGAAACTATCAAAACCAGCTCCTTGAATGCCTGCCGGACGGTACGGTGTCGGATATAAACGGCCACTGGAAGAAAGTATCCAAGGCGTTTCTCAAAGTAGGAACGTCTGCTTGCGATACAACCCAGCCAACCTCATCCAAGCATTGGATCTCTGATTGGACCTTGCTGGAGACCCGGCGACAGATTCCACCTGATCGCCACCACAACTCTACCCGGCGCATCATCCGACGCCAGGTGAAACTGAGTGTCCGGGCGGACCGAGAAGCTTGGACCCGAAAGGTCGAATGGAAGATGCGAAGAATGCTGAAAACGTGCGCAAGTTGTTCCACTTGATTCGTTCGACTGGTCCTAGGAAACCTCTTATCAGCGAAAATATCAGGAACAAAAATGGCTCCGTGATATGCCGCAAAGCAGAACGTTTAGACCGGTGGGCACAGTACTTCGAGCAGCAATCCAGCTGGCCATCTGCCACCTCCAATCCAGCAACCTGGCCTTCACCAGAAAAGTGGACCGTAAATATGGAGCCGCCTTCAGTCTCAGAAGTGCCGGAATGCATTTCTCTACTCAAGCATCATCGTGCTGCTGGTCCTGACGACCTTCCACCTGCTCTCTTCAAGGATAGCGGTGGATTCCTCAGTCAGTGCCTGTCTAGCCTATTTGTGTTTATCTGGGAGAAGGAGACCGTCCCAGAAAACCGGGGTGAATCGATAGTGGTACCCATTTTCAAAAAGGGTACTCGCAGTGAATGCAGCAACCACAGAGGCGTTAGCTTGACGC